AGCCGGGGAGCGCCCGGGGGGGGGGCCCCCCCCCCAGCCGATCCCACAAACCCGCTGGTCCTTCTAGGTGCACGCTGCCACTTCTGGGTGAGCACAGTCGGCTGTGGGGGAACTGCTTTTCTTGGTGCCCCCACTCCCCGGCCAGCACCCTCTCCCCCCCCCCGGGGGGGGGGGGGGGGGAGGGGTGTGCACCATCACTCTCCCCTGCCCGGGAACACTGGCTGTCGGGGGGAGCACCACTGCTTTCATGGGGTGCACATGCACCCCCTATACACCCCTTATGCGTCGCCACTGATAAGACAAAAACCTTTTGCCCCAGTTTGATCTTCTTAAAAGAATGATCAAATTGGTTTTGAATGTTAAAATAGAATAAACCACTGCAAGGGAACAGTTATAATATAGCATAACTGCCACAACATATGTGTGTGTGTGTGTGTGTGTATATATATATATATATATATATATATAGGCAATCCCACGCAGTTGAGGATGATTGTCTTCCATGATTGCTTTATCTGTGAGTCAGAAGATGTCTGACGAGGCTGATCCAGGATCAACAGACTCTGTTGCAACTCGGGCACACATTTCTGTGCATGGTGGGTGGCTCTGGATTCTTGATCTGGTCCACAGCACGCTGTTTCTGCCACTCCCGCTTTTCCATCTCCTGTTGTAAGGTGTCAAAGTACTGAGATCCTTGCAGCAGACTCTTCCTCCATTTGGGGCAGTCCTTGGCAATAGTGTTCCAAGCTGATGTTGATGTTACATTTTTTCAAGTTGGCCTTGAGAACGCCCTTGAAGCACTTTTTCTACTCTCCTCTTGAGCATACATCTTGACTGAGCTGGGAGAATAAAACTTGCTTTGGGTGTCTGAAGTTAACCATCTGGATGATGTGGCTGGCCCAGTGAAGTTTATGTTGGATGATCATCACTTCAATGCTCATGATGTTTGCTTGCAAGACAATGCTAATGTTAGTACATTTGTCTTCCCACCAGATTCAAAGGGTCTTCTGCAGAAAGCGTTGATGGTACTTCTCCAGTGATTTGAGGTGTCTCTTGTATGTTGTCCATATCTCAGCTCTGAGATGGGGATCATGACTGCTTGATAAATCATGAGCTTGGTTTTGGACCGGATATTGCAATCTTCGAACACCTATTTCCTCAAGCGTCTGAAGGCTGCGCTTGCAAATTTAAGTTGCTGCTGGATTTCTTTGTCCACGTCAGCCTTCTGCAAGAGATGGCTTCCGAGGTATGGGAAATACAGTCCAATGTCTTCCAGGAGTTTCTAAGTCTTCTCATATAATGGCCTGGTTGAAATTTCCTGAGGAGAGACAACTACCACCACCTGTTCTTTGCGGAGAATCAGGTTCTTTCTAAGTGGTGTAGCCCGTGTGGCTAGAAGCAGTGGAATATATGCTGTACTTCATCATAAGATTGTCTGTTTCTGTAAAATGGCTTGGTTCAGAACCTGGAATAATATGTCCTGGGTTATGAGGGTTTCCTCATCTGATAAATCACCTCATCCTGGTCCATTGACTTTGTACTGTTTCCATAAGCACTTTCAATTTGTGCTTTGCTAGTGTTTTATTCCACTCTATCCCCAAAGAAACACAAACACTTAATCATGCAGGTTGCACAGCATATTTAGTACATGAGAAGGAGAACAGGAGAGGAAACAAAAGAGGGGAAAATAACTCTGCCAAAAATCCAATGTGCTGAAGTTGTTCTTTTCAAAGAAGTCCTACACACATCAATTTGACCCAACACCCACTTTCTGTCTACCGTGGCCTGTCTGCCAGCAGACATTAACATTGCCTTTATTTCCTGCGATGGTCATACTGTACCAGCGCAAAATCACTGAACCTAAATTTAACCTTAGCAATGTTGTAAAGAAGGTGTCAAGCCACAACATCCAGTCCCAGGTTATGAACACTCCCTAAATTCAAGAGTGTGGAGAAATTTTGGTGCAGCCCATCAGCTACTTACTAGATGTCAAAGAAGGCTCAGATTTCAAAGATCTCCAAATACTATTTCATCTCTAGTTAACTATTTAATTTAAAAAATGGTCTCATTAGCTGAGTTGGAGCTAACAAGCTCCAAATTAAATAAAAGTGATTTATTAGATTTACATAAACAAATGCAGTAAAAACAAATCTGTTACAATTACAAAGATAACAATCAGATTCAGCATTCAAAGAAGAAAACTAGTGATACAAGAAACTTTATTTAACAAGGTAAAGTCCTACCTTCTTCTCTGAACTCATCTGTACTCTTTGGGCAATTCCAATTTTTATAAAATTTCAATCTCTTGTTTTAAAATTAACTCACATAAAAGAAGATGAGAATGTAATAAGGTCTTGATGATTCAAACAGAAGTGTCATTTTGTGCCAATGATTTCTCACAAATACTTTTCTCTTTGTCTGAAGAAGAATCAACAGAGTTAATTTTTAGGCTAAATAGAACGACAGTAGTTGCAGGGCTTACAAAAAAACTGGCTTGGACTACAACCTTATTACACTCTCAAGGATGATAATGACCAAAGACTTGATCCTGAACCACTGAAGTGAGACTATTTCAATGAACATATAATCCAGGCACTTGTGCACCAACTCCAGATAATAAGTAAAATCAGAAACATCATCAGCCTTGTTTGATATAGGGCCACCAGCGCAGCAACTTTCCTGAGCTCTGACAGAACATGTGCGGGCTTTATATGGCAAATGTTTGTAGCGAGGTGTGATCTAATGGTGGGAGTAAAACGGAGAGAAAATAACTTGGGACTGAAATAAAACTTGAGATAAAATGTCATATTAACTCACTGCTGTGTCTGTATAAAGCTGGTATTTAAGCTTTGTGGGGGAGGAGGGAAAGACCCCCCACTGGGTAGAAGAAAACCACCGATTCCTACTCTGGGGGCCTCTCCCTTGCTCAGCTGGGAAGAGTGCAGAGACCCAGAGAGGCTCACCCTGCGCTCCTACCCCAAGGGTGTGCTGCAGGGCTGGGATCTGAGGCCAGGCCTCCTGCCTCACAGCAGAACCCCAAGCTTTACTCTCCTTCTGCCCTCCTCTTCACAGCAAAGCTAGGCACTGACCCAGCCCCAGAGCAGTCCTAGTGTCTCTGCGGAGCTGTCCAGTCTCTGCTTCTTCCTCAGGACTGACTGTGGAGCATCCTTCCCTCGGGATCACTGTCCGCACAGACAGGAACTTTTACCTTCCTCTTTCAGCAACATCACCCAAGTGCCCAATCAAGTGCTGGTTGGAGCTGTCATGGAAATCAGCAGCACCTGGGTATTGAACACCCTGTGTCATGGGGTAGGATTGGTCTGAGGGGGCCAAGGGAATTAGACATCCAGTTCCTTGTACCCGTGAGTCTCGCTGACTCCTAATCCTACTGCTGAGCAGGTGCTGTGACTCTTCCCCAGACCTGAATCCCCTTGCTAATGCACAGTTCTCAGAGCACGGTCTTGCTCTCACCATGTCCTCACACCCATATCCCACCCTGGCATGAATCCCTAATGCTGACCCTAACCCAAGGGTCAGTGGGCAACCCCCCACTTCAGTGCCTGCTCTGGGACTGCAAGGGGACCCCCAGGGCTAGGCAATGAGCAGGAGCACCTGAAAGGGTGTATCACCTACTGACGCTGTCCCCAGGCCTGCCTGGCACTCTGCCCAGCTGCTCCCCCAGTGGCAGTAAGTGGATCCCCCTACTTCCTCACCTGCTCTCTGCTTTGTCACCTTGGGTGTCCCATTCCAGGCCAGGACTCCAGATGTACCTCAGACACCACAGGGGACCCAGACATGGGGAAATGGAGCCACTGGCACATGATCCTGACTGTGGAAGGGGGGTGGGCAGGGGTGCAACCACGCCATTAAACTCCCCTGGATTCAGCTCTGCATTTGGATCTGGGGAAAAAACACGGGTGCGTGCCTTTGACGACCTTACAATCTATTAACCACATCCCCAGGGCAGGCATTTTGTAAAGTTTTCAAGTGTGCTGCTATTTCAGCAGATGCCTGTAGATGTGATCTTGCTAGAGTGCTCCTGCAATTAGACTGAGATGAGTGGAAGCCTGTACCGTATAGTTCCAGATGGCTTTTAGATTCCATGACTAGGTACACCCCTGTAGAGGATATTTGGCAAGCATACAAGCATGGGTGATACAGATGATATTCACAGGGTCCCAGTAACTTCTGGTGCATAATGCTACAAGCCACATGTATCATTAAGTTCCAGACATGATGCTGCCTGGATGCCAAGGTGATTTAAACCTACTGTAAAATATGCACCTGGGAAATTCTTAGTGGTTTCTGGCAGCTTGTCAAAGGACCCTGTTAATCACCAATGTTGTCCAGAAGTTCACTATGATGCAGAAGCTATTGTGAGTGGCCTGCAAAACTCATGTCAGAAACCAGAACTGCTTACAGTGATCTCCAGTGATGATTCACACCTGCAAACTGTATCCAACCTTACATGGCATAGCAGGCTCAGTTACTTATGAGGGGTTCCACATCCAGTCTGAACCTCTATGCAGGGAAAGGGACCTCTCCAGATCTGGAAGTCTGACTGTGCCTGTAAGACGACATAGTGAAAAGGATACAAAAGGGACACTGCAATGTAAACTTAAAGAGTCCAGATGTTGATAATATGATATCCTAGTGCATGGTAAGAGAAGCATTGAAGAGTTATGCAAATATTGCTGAATGGCCAGAGGACAGGTCTACATCATCACCTTGTAGGTCTTTAGGAAGAAGATGACTAGGCTTGTTGGAAGACAGGGGCACACTTTTTGCTAGCCATCAACCTTCTAGATTTGATCTGCAAAAAAACCATTTATTTCTCACAATGACCTAATAGGTCATATAGGGAAATGCAAATGTATCTTGTCTCATATTGGCACCCAGAGCATATAGGTTTTAATGCTAAGTTTCTGGGATACAGTGTAATTTCAACCACAGTATTTCTCATCCCTGCCACCCACTACTGGCAGACAGGAAGAGAAAGAAGGATGTATTACTAAAAACTACAGAAATAGACCCTGTATTTGCTGACCTCTAGCACAGCTTCCATGTGAGTCCCTGGACTAAGCTTAGCTCAGTTATTTATGAATCAACAGATCTGAATGATGTTAACATTTTGGTTACTATTTGTCCTAAATTGTCCTTCTAAAAAAATGTGAGCCCACATTTAAGAGACCTCTGACTTCCTTTTTTTAAAACAGTTTGAATGCATCTGCTAATTGATAAAAAATGTAACCAGGATGCCAAGTCTTACTAACACCAGATGAGAAAAAATACTGGACACCAACACCCAGGGAGGGATTCAACCAGGTTGACACAGAATAAGGGGTCTTTAACAAGGGGAATCTTCAGGTGGCTCTAAAATTCATTTGAATTGTCATATGAGCCTAGTAGCAAACATACTTAATCACACTTATTGACAAGAGAACAGCCCTAAACCTAATTAACACAAGTGCTAGCTTCCTAATTGGACAATTCCAGTAAATCAGCAGGACAAATTCCCCCTCACCCTTAGTCTGTAGTGAATTGTGGTTTTGTAGTAAAGATAGGGACTGACTTAGCTCTCTAGTATGTTAAATATTCTCATTAGATATCATTTATAGGGGAAAAAATAACAGGAAGTTAGGCAAGAATGGGACTGAAAAAATGTCTTAGCAGAAACTACAACGGGACAGAAAAAAGTAGCTTTAAGGCTGTTTCCCTTAATCTACTGAAGTTCGTCATTCAGTGTAGAGGAACACAAATCTTTGTGTGATTCTTCACCTTTGTTAAATTATCCAGTGCTGAGGAAGTTGTATAATGATGCATGCAGCTGCCCCTTTTATTGCAGCCCTTATACCTTCACAGACTACAGGTCCCAGAAGTCACCATTTTGTCTCAATTTTTGTCTAGATAGAAAATAAAGAACAGTACTCTGGGAACAGTAGTCCCTTCAGGCTACAAATATATAATAAAGAAAAATATAGGTGCACACAGCTCCATGTGATTCTAAGCAAGTGTGGTCTTTGAATTTCTAATAAACATTTTTTTTTCCTTTCCAATACAGAAGGCCAGGCAAAATCAGCAAACGAAATAAAACTTGCACCGTACACTTTGGTAATCTGACTCTATCACTTTTACCAAGTAAAACATATAAATAGAAAATGACAGCAGTAAAACTCTACTCCTTCGTTCCAGTAGCTTAAATGTAGGACAGCAGAGGAAAAAGAAAAGCTAAACTATGCTTTTGGCCAGCTTCAGTTTGCATTGCAAAAATACAACAAGCAGCAGTCAATAATTAAAATAGAAATATCAATTATGATTATGCACAATTCAAAGAATTAAAACAGATGTATCAAAGTACTTGGTGCATAGGATGGGAAGGGAGGTTTAAAGATTACCAGCTTGAGGCTGTAAAATTGTGTGTGCATGTTTGGAGACACTTCACCTTAGCAGTTCTTTGCAGAGGTTCATTCTGTTACTGGAAAATTAATAGTATTTTCTAGAACTTGTCCTAATTAAAAAATGCTAATTATTTTGCCTGGGTACTGAGAGGGAATCCTTAATCACATGGAGGGTAATCGAGGAGCTACACCTAGATCTTCCAAAGTCTCTTCCTCTGGTGTGAAATATGGTGAAGGTTCTGGGGATGGTTTAGGGGGGTCATGTGTGAAAGTGCCAGGAACTTTAACTCCCCTGGGGATTTGTTTTCACTAGAAAAACTTACTGCATGTGAATATGTTTGCTAAGAGTTGAGTTAGCTGAAATGATGCTGAGCATGGGTGAGTGGCCTTTGTAAACTAGAGCAAATTTTGTTTCGTGTTGTGTTAGTAATCATGATTAGTTGACACAATGCAGAATACAATTTGGTCTGATGTCCACCTACCAGTCAGTCATGGCCAGCCATGTCAGCTAACTTGAATTTTTGCAGTCACATTTAAACACAAATAACATTTTGTCGTGCAGG